CAAACTTTTTTTTTTTTTGGTAATAAAATTTGAGCCTCATTGGAGGTTGTCCGAATTTCATAGACTCTAAGAAAAATAAAGCTGGAAGATATCATAGGAGGTCATCTGGTCCAAACCTCTGTGCAAGGCAAAAATCACCCCTGCCTAAACAATCCTAGAAAAGTGTTTGTCTAACCAGCTGGTAAAAACTTTAGGAACAACCCTCACACACAACTAGGAGACATAATATCTGAAACAGCAGAAACACTGCTTAGTTTGCCATGGGTAAAGCAGGGGCAGAAGGGCAATATCAATGCCCTGCCACTGCAAAGGTAGACAGTAATTTGTTAAACACACTCAAGAGATCCAAGGATGAGGACCATGCCCCCCTGCTTCATCCTACATGCCTACTGTGATGAAAACTCCTATTGACATGGAAGAGCATTTCTATCTGGGGTAAGGGGAAGACTTGTGCCTTAATTGTATGCCAGGACTAAAAATGGTTATCCCACGACAGGCCAATTGAAAGTAAATACCGAGTTATTAAATGACAAACTAATTTAGCTAATTAGCTAAAAGGAAAAGTATATAGAGTATATTGGAAGACAATAATATTTTGCTCCTGGTTGCATAAAAATCAAGCTACCCAAAGAGGAAGCTTATGATTTATAGAAGCATGACATGGATTTAAAGGTTAAAATAATACAGACACTCTCACCTATTTTCTTACTTCTTTCCTCTCCACGGTTGTGCGCAATAATTGGAGAGTATATAAAAGGACTTTTGGTTGACATGTTCTGACCCAACAAACTTTTCATTTTCTGGGGCCGAAGGCTGACAGGAAGGTTCAAGAGTTTCACAGATCTGTTAAGTAAAAAAAGGAAGGCGTTTTTGGCTGTTTTTTGCATTAAAATCAGTTTTGAAATACTGATTACGCAACTTTTTTATTAGAATAAGCACAGTAATAAAAAAAGTATATATAAACTGAAGGTATAAAGACAAGGAGCATTAAATAAAAAAACTGCAAATACACATTAATTCAAAAAGATAAGAAAAGGGTACAATAGGAAAGATGTAAAGGATTAACACTTCCTACAAAAGTGCGACATTCAGACTGTAATCCCCCTGAATTCAAACGTAAGGAATCCAGATAGTTGTGGTTTCTCTATAATCCACAATCCAAGTCCTGGAAAGAAATCTAAAGATTTTTCAGCACTAAGCACTAGATAGCAAGAGACTGCACAGACCTTTTGTACAGCTAGAACCCAGACAGAACTGTTTCACATTAAATGTAATATGAGAAAGTTCCTAAGGAAGGAAACTACACCAGAATCCAAATGAGTTTAAAGAGATAACAATTTGCTTTTAGAGCAAGAAAAAAATAAAAGGACATCAGAAATTGAGAGAGAATGAGAGAGGGAAGGGGAGGGGGAACAAAAGAAAAAGAAAAAGAAACAGAGGCAAACAGTTTAAACAGGCACAAGGGCTAGGGCCAGACATTCAGGAAGCCTGAGCCTGAATTGATTCAATCTTTGCAAGTTAGTCTACCCTGCCTATGTTGAATGGCTCTACAAGTGCAGAGACATTACCTCTGGACCGAGGAAATGCCTGCACATGTCTGCAGAGGCTCAGGCTGGAAGCTGGGGGGGTACTAGAGTAGCCCTCTCTTCCCTTCTAGAGTGCTGAGCTAAGGGAGAGGCATGGCCAGGCCCTGACAGGACTCTCCAGCTAGGGAGGCGTTTAAACCCCAACCCTGCTTCCACCATCCCAGGCTTTTCCCTGCTCGCTACTCAAGGGCTGGGAGTTGCCAGACCTCAGCTAGCACTCCAAGGCAAAGTGGGGTGTGCAGTGATAATGATACTGAGCTTTTCAATCTCCCTCTCCCTGCTTCTTCGTACTGTCTGCAGCAAAATGACAGGGAGGTAGCCATCAGGGATGTGATAACACAGCATTTAACAACCCATCAGAAAAACAAAAGCCTCCCTTATTAGTTCAAGCTCTTCTTAAACAGCTTTTTTCAAGGAAGGAAGGGAGGGACATTAGCCACTGACCTGCTTAGCTCCAAAAAGCAGACACACAGACAGCTCTCAGCATTAGCTAGCATATCACATGCCTAGGGTCCACCGGGCTGGGGGGATCCCTGCTTGAGCAGTGAGGAGGGAGGGGGAAGCCAGGCAGGCCCTGCTGTGCCTGCAGTCTCTGCTGGAGCTCTGGCTAGGGAGCAGAGGGCAGGGCCAGCCCTACTCTCTGGAGCCCCAGCCCAGGGCTGCAAAGCATCTGGGATGCTGGGGGACTCTGGTTTAACTTAAACCAGGAAGGGGTCTAGGACAGACATTGCATAAACCGGTTTGACCCAAATCAGTTAAGCCCAATACTACATTCAACCAGGTTTATCTTAAACCATTACCTTCAGCCATTTTGAAACTGGTTTATATGCACTGAACTTGTATTCTGTTACATGTTTAAACAAGTTTCTGATCACTTAAACCAGTTTGTGTGTAATGTC